CAATAAAACAAACCATCTCTAGCTCTATGTCCTAGCAGTAGCACCGAGTGGAAACCCCTTATAGTCATTAAAAAGAGATCAAAATGGTGATACTAATGCATAAAAGAGAAGTCCGCATCCCAAGAATAGTACTAACATCTTGCTTTAGCAGGTATAAACAATAGAAAAAAGTACCTTTTCAAGAATTAGTCTAAAGTAACCCCGTGCACTAAGCTCCCGCTATGTGCGGCGTCCGGGGAAGGGCCGGACCACAAGGGTCTATTATACGCACCTTACCTTGCATTTTTGCAAGAGGCTGTTTCCATGGCTCGAACCCGTGGCCTCCTGATTATATGGCAACAACTTTACCAGTTACGCCAAGGCTCCCCTTCTAGTTTCTTTGTTTACTGAATGTTATAAAAGAATTAAACATAAAATTTAAAGAGAATAATGTCAATCTACAGACATACATAATTTTGGACAGGAAATGGTAGAATAGCATGAAAACAAGGAAATGACAAACTCAACAACATTTAGAACTTTTAGGCAATTCAGACAGAAGGCTATCATATTCCATAAAAGAGCTTCAAGGGTAGTGTAAGTCAGACATATAGATAATTCAGGAAGAAGTAATTAGCTCATGTAATATAGGACCATGAAAATACCTTCACTTCTTCATTCAGAGATCGTAATAGTATATGCCCATTTTACCTGCAAGTCGAGATATTTATCTGCTGCCACTTTGTTCAATTTGTTCTTCCTCTCACTAAAATTATAGAATTTCCTATAGCACTCTTAGTGATTCACTATATTGAATCCAAGCTTGTAATTATTTAGCCAAATGTCTCTGATCCAATTAAACAATTTGTGTAGTCTCAAAATATTCGAGTTCTTCAAAAAAAAAAAAAAAAACAGAAGCTTTTACTTTAATTCAGGTCAATCAAGTTGATAATATTCAGGACAGTTTCAGAAATTCCCTGAGAAATCCATTTACTGTGTATTCAGAAGAAACTGATCTCCTACACACATGTCATTGATATTCTCTTTCTATTATTTCTTTCACAAGTATCACCCATTTTTTCGCCAATGTTCTGTAGCTTGCTTCACTGGAAAGCTGTATAAGATTTTTGATAGGTGTCAAACAGAATGTTTTCTTCTGCATTTGCTGTGCAATTATCTGGTAGTACTTCCCCTCAAATATTTTTGGCCCATGTACTTAAACACATGTTCGAAATAGTGATTTTAATGGCTGAAACATGAACATCAGTAGTATTATATAGCTTCTTGTTTCGTATGGACTAGATAGGAACACAATTAGAAGGGTGAAGAAGGGGCATAACAAACAACGATCAATCAAAACTACACATATAAGATGAGCTTTTTTGCTATGGAGGGTATGGAATAGAAAGCTAACTCTAGATGACATTTTGCAGCAAAGAGGAGTCTTCGAGATGTTGGTGCTGCACGACGCCTCAAAGAGAGACAATACAACATTTATGCCTTCACGCTCCAGCAGCTTTTGAGGTATGGCACTATTTCACAACAGCTTGTGGTTCCAACAAGAGAGGAAATACTTCACAACAGGCTTGTTTACTTTGGTGGAAAAAAGAGGACATCACCTCTCACGCTGCTGTGGAGCTACCACCTCATGCGAGAAATTTATAAGATAGTAATGTTATGAACATCACCAAGATTAGAACTAGGAAACTACTTGTAATTACAAGAGCTTGTTTTCCCTGGAGTGAAGGGAATGGTGCATGCAGCAACACTCTGATCATGAAAGAACATTGCTGTTTTTTCTATGGGAGTGAAGCGCAATAGTAGCATACTAACATGAAGTAGTGCAGTTTAAGTTTTAGATAAATCTTGTAATGGAATAAACTGTGATTTCCACTAAAGTTTTAGCAGTTTGGTATGACAGATCATGAGCAGACTGATCCTATACACAACAACACAAGATAGTGAACAAGAATATTCTTTAAACAAGAAAAGGCCAAAACAGAACATCAAGAGAAAATGTCAAACAGATCAAAGAAACAGGACATCAACAAATGAGCAAAAGCAAAGTGAGCATCTTTCATAATTGAACTCTTCATTATAAGAAGAACTCTAAGAGTCACAGGGACCTTGAGAAAAAGACACCACCTACACTGAATACGTGCAGACCTTTGACTATTCCACTAGTATATGTTCTTGATAACCTGCCCATCAAAGTCAGGCAGATGAGATTTCTTCCCTTAATTCTCACCTTTTTGCTTACTTGCCTCACCACCAAATCAAGCCCCCCCCCCCCCCCCCCCCAAAAAAAAAAAAAAAGAAAAATAGACAAAATGCAATGAAAAGTTGGAACAAACCCTGCCTCCAGGGATTTGATTCAGCGGTAAGGATGCAGAACTTAAAATGAAGGTCAGACATACGTCACGAGTTAAAACCCGGTAAATGATTGAAACTTGGCATGTAAGTGGGAGAAAGGTAGAGAGACGAGCCCATAGCCCTCATAGTTCTGGACCTGTAAGCACATTAGAGCTAGGCCAGCTAACACACAGGGTATTCTCGGTTTTGAAAGAAAAAAGAAAAATTGGACTCTATCGCTCCTCTAAAGAAACAGGGCTTGTAACCTCCTAGTGTAATTCTTCGATGCAGTGCGCTGTACTAAACAATCACTAGGTCGACTACAAGAAACACGACCAAGTCAGTACAACATTTTCATCTCAAATTTTTTTTTTTTTTTGATTTGCACCGGGTGTCCGAGTCTCTAAGAGCCCCGACTAATCCTGGGGATGCACAGGCCCTCGGCAAGGAGTTTCCCGCAAGTGCACCACGATTAATTCAGGTTTTACCCAGTCCGATGGCCCTCAGAAATTGTTTGCACCCAGTGGGTTTCGAACTTGAGACCTTGAAAGGGAGCAAACCCCAAGGCTCAAGTCTATTGCCACCAGGCCAACCCCTGAGGATTAACATTTTCATCTTAATTCTCCAGAACAAAGTAATCCCGAAGTACATCTTTCATATTGCACTTCCAATTTTGTAGATATAAGACCTTGCAAAGTACAAGAATAAAGTGAATGATAAAACACTCAACCCAGAAAGAAGCAAATAAAAGTAATCAAGATATGCTCGGTTCAAGTTATCTGAAAACCAACTATCATGACCGTCTTTGGCAGTGGCTTTCGCAATAAAAGAGATGAGGAAACTGCTCAAGAAGTTACCTACACCAATTAAGCTGAGATACAGAGCAATACCTACACTTTTCAGCTCCTCGGGCACCTGATCATAGAAGAACTCCTGCAGACCAATCAAGGTGAATACATCAGATATGCCATAGAGTATATACTGAGGTACTAACCACCAGATGCTCATGGAAACAGTTGCATCGGATTGTTGACCAGCCCATTCTCTAGAGCAGTTTGTATACGATACTCTCAACTATGGCTGCAGTTACAATGGCAACTATAGACACGAAAAATTCCGGTTCGAATTCTTTGAAGCATTGTGATGCCCGAAGGTTTCCTAGTCACAGCGAGGAGCCAAAATACAGTCATATATAGGAATAGGGAGCACTATAGAGATGGCAATGAAACATTAAGCTTGTAACACCTTGCTTGGTGAACAAAGTGGATGTCTGTGAAGACACTATGGCATAACCAAACATGTACTTCAGGTGCAAGCAATGCTGTAGAAAGACAGCTAAAAGAGAATGTGTTATTTTGTCTTTGCTGTGTGAGTCTTTGGTTGAAAGAATAGCATAACCCTATAGAAAGACAGCTGTTGAAAAGATCTCAATGTACTGGAGAGTACTGAAATTAATACTACAAAAAGAAATTACCTGGAGTGAAGGCAATGGTGCCTTGGCAATAACTCTCCAATCAAAGTAAACTGCAGTTGGTTCTATATGAGTGAAGCACAAAATTAACATGAAATAATGCAAGCTATAGTTTAAGTTTTAGATAAATCTTGTAACGTAGTAAACTGTGATTTCTCGGAAACCTAAGCTTTAGCAGTTTGATAGAAAGATCATTTGCAGACTGATCCTATAAACAACAATAAAAAAAGTGAACAACAAAATTATTTAAAACAGGAAAAGGCCAAAACAGAACATGAACAACTGGGAAAAAGCAGAGTACAACTTTCATAATGAAGCTTTTCATTATAAACAACAAGAACTCTAAGAGTTAGAGAGACCTTGAGAAAATGACAACATTATCTACATTGCATACAACCGATGATGAAAAAATTTGTTGGTCTTCCTTGACACCGACATACAGATAACTATTTTTTAACTCTTTCATTCCACTTCATCCAGATCACATACTGTATCTATTTTCTCCTCCACTTTAAACTGCTAAGATTTCCTCATCCTGTTTCTGAATTTGAATGTTCCAGGTCCCTTTCTGAATCTGTTTTTAAGTTTAATGCTAGAAATTGGAGAAAGATTTAGAGAGTCCATCGAATAGAAGCTACTCCGGAGAGAATATGACTTTATAAAATTGTTGGTAAGAAGAGTATTAGGGAAGAGTCAAAGATGCTGAAAGAGCAAATACAGCGACAACGAAGCAACTTAAGGTAAAATAGAGTGCACAAATGAAGTTTATAAGAGAACATTCCATAAGTTAGCCATTTAGCCAACACGACAAGCAAAAATTACAACTGTCGAATTCGATGTTGTTAACGGAGAGTGAACAGTATTACTTTCAGATGCCAGAAATTGTATAGCTCAACATCAGCAGTCAACGCATTCTGTTTTCATCACTTAAGAGTCATCTTCAAGCCTCCTACACTCGTTGCTACAAATGGAACTTTTTGTTCAGGTACTAAATTAATTTGACTTCTCTTATTTGCTGTTGTTATCTTACTTTTAGCAGCTTGATATTACAGATAATAAGAAGAGTGATCCTATACCAACAACGCAAAAATAGTGAAACAACAAAATTCTATAAACAGGAAAACACAAACAGAACATCAAGAGAAAAATATCAAACAGTTCAAAGAAACTGGACATCAACAAATGAGCAAAAGCAAAATAAAAAAGAGCATCTTTCATAATTGAACTTTTCATTATAAACAATAAGAATTGAACTCTAAGAGTCGGTGAGACCTTGAGAAAATGAAAACATCATCTACATTGCACAAAATCGATGATGAAAAAATGTGTCGGTTGTTATTTTAACACCAACATAATCTAAATATCCCTAAGATTTCAGAGATATCCCAACTAAAAGTACCCTAATCTAAAAAAAAGTTATCTTGGATTTCAAAGAAACTCAAGAATAAAACATACCCTTTTCAAAAATTTACCAAGCTTCAATTTTCCAGAATTAGTAAAGCAAGTCACTTTGCACTAAACCATGATCCCCAAAATCCAATAGAGAATCCCAATCAACTTCCACCTCATCACCTTCCTGATAATAGCATTCTTGATTTTCCATGTTCAGCATTCCAAAGAATCCATCAGAATCAGTTTGAACCAACATTCCATCCGTTGGTTCTAATTGTTCCACAGAAAAAGCATCAGACGAGGTACTCTCCAACATCATAGGATTGTTCTTAGAGAAAATCATAGTACTCTGTTGTGAGGGTTCTTGCAAGACACGGTCAATGAACCTCTTATATTCTACAACAGTAGCAATACTGCTTCCTCGGATTTCTGATCTAGGGTTCTTCTTAATTGCACAGATTACAAATTCTTTTGCTTCGTTAGATTTCAACTGCTTAAGAAGAGAGTCAGCCAAAAAATACTCCATCATCAACCAACGGCCATTCAAACAAGAGTTTTTCTTGCTCTTGTAACTCAAGCTTCTTTTATACCCAATAATGAGACTCTCATCCTCATCAAGAATCTCCTTGCCTTTATTCTGCTGTGTCCAAGTCCCATTACAGGTAGTTCTGTTGAATCTGGCATCAGTGGACTTCTTCTTCTTCAATTGAGTGAGGAAGTAATGGGTTTTCTTGGTGTCTCCAATTAATTGCCATGGCTCTTTGCTGTAAACATCTGCAAAGCCAATTAATCCTTCAGTTGGCAAGCATTTTCCAGCCAAAAACTTCAGCAATTGCATTATCAATTCAGTATCACAGGGACGAAATTGACCATTCTTCTCCATGGATTCCCTTCTTTGTTGAAGACTGAAGAAAAATGGCAGAAAACACTTTTTAGAATGCGAATGAACAAACAAGAATAAGAAATAGCGTATCTTAAGTTTGAGGAGTCCAAGGTGGGTTTAGGAATATATAAAGACACATTCTTATTCCACTTTTGGAAACTAATTTTACAGCTGTGAGCGTGTGACTCAAGGACGGCTCTAAAATAATTAAGGCCCCAAATATATATATATATATATATATATATAAATATATAAAGACACATTCTTATTCCACTTTTGGAAACTAATTTTACAGCTGTGAGCGTGTGACTCAAGTATATATATATATATATATATATATATATAAAGTTTTTAAATTTGAATTAAAATAAAAAAATATTTTTTATTACCATGTTATCATACTTAATTCGGTTAGTGATCATATGCAATTATATTAGGAACTTTTGTTTTTTTAATTCAAATTATGTAAATACTACTTCGCCTCTGACAAAAAAAAAAAAAAATACTCCATATAACTATAAACTCTTTTACATTTAAAATCCTATAATTATAATTCTTTAAAACACTATAGCTAGATTTGAATAAAGCAAATTTCTTTTAAAATAAATATAATATATAAGGTGCACGTCTATGTTTATAATAAAAAAAAAGTTTAAAAGTTGATAAAAGTTTATTTGCATATATAAAGAAGTAAACCTACATGCTGGAGAAAGAAACATTACAAAAATCAATCAATATTCAACACAAGTTTTTTTTTCTTTTTGAAAAATATTTATTTGAAGAGTCAATTTATATAAATGGACATCAAACAAATAACAAAACTTTGACTATATAATTGATTAATTTCTATTTAACACCTTCTAGGAATTGAAGGATATAAGCCAAAACCTCTTCATTTAGCTGCAGTCAAACCAACATTACAAAGGTGTAGTATTTTTTCCATTGAAAAATATTAATTTTGAATCATTAGATTATGTGAAAGATTTTTTTCTCAAATTCAAAAGGAGGGATATTAGTTTCTAATTGATAGTTTCTATAGCGATTTTCAAGTGTAACGAAAAGTATATTTAAAAAAAATTGGTATGACGTGAAATAGTTATTTTTAAAATGTAAACAAATTATTTCGAAATAGGCTTATTTTTTAAATTATAATGTAATTTTTAAAATAAAAGATAAGATATTTTTAAATTTTAGTATAGAGTTTTTAAAATAATTATAATAGAGTCATATCATGGATAAACTCAAGAAACCAAAATCTTATGGATTATTACATAAATATCCGGCCAGATTTATTATTTACTTTTTATACCTAATATACATAGATGATATACCTATTACACACGATTATACACATGTTACATATGAATTATAAATAAATTACACATCCTCAATTTTTTAGTTTAAGTGGTTGGGTGAGCTCCTGTGTAGGTTGATAAGATAAAACCAAAAGAAAAATATGTTAAAATTTCAACCAAAGATTAAAAATATAAACAGAGTTCTTATGTAGACAATTTCTACTAAAACTCATCATTTTATTACGAAATAACTTAATTTTGTGTAACAAAAGAAAGAAAAACATAAAAAAAATAAGATAAAAGAAAATAAATATAGAAAAAATGTATGAAAAATCTAAAAACCAGAAATAAGAGACGGCAACGAATTTCTTCTTCTGTTTCATCTTTGTTGAGTGTAAAAAATTTGGAAGATGATCTCATCGATTTTAAATATTTTTTTCAACTCAAATACATAGATTATAAGATAAGGATATCTTAGAATTTTTTTTTATTTACATTGTGTGTCATTTTTAAAAAAATCACTATTGCTAACAAAGTGATATGATATTTGAATTTGAATTAAATTGTAATTTAAGTAGTTTGCATTGAGGTTAAGCCAAGTATGGTGAAAAAATTGCTTAGCAATTTTAAGACAATATATGCAATATTATATAATAGGCGAAATACATAAACAACCCTCCAAGTTGTCCACAACGGTCATTTGAACACCTTAACTGGTCCCTTTTTCATTTTAACATTTCAAGTGGCTATTAAATGTATCTTGTGAACACCCGAGTCTGGCAGACTATATGTGTGAGTTGCACTCGCCAGTGACATGTCAAATACCGGTCGTGATGGCGCCTATCACATTACTAGGCAAGCCGACTGAACAATTAAACACAACCCTTTCTCTTAAACATTTAAATCATTTTTACAGCCGTTTAAATACCATATTTTTATATAAGCGTGTAAAACAACAAATAAATATGTGGAAGTCAATAAAAAATGAACTACACAGCCCCACAAATCTGGTGTCACGAGTCTAGAGCCTCTAATACAAGTCTGAAAATCCACTACATAAATAGTCTAGAAAAATGCGGAAACATAATAAGATAGAGGGGAGAAATTAGGGCTGCGAACGCCATGCAGCTACCTCAAAACCCCCGACAAATGCTGAACAACTGAAAAGCTCTCACTCGGCCGCTCGGGCACCTGGATCTGCACACAAGCTGAAGGGAGTAACGTGAGTACGCCAACTCAGTAAGTAACTAAAGTAAATAAGTACTGAAAGCAGTGACGAGCAGTTCAGAAACATATAACCTTAAAATCAGTTCCGTCAAAAGAATCATCATGTCCAATTTAAAGTATTGAAATCAGTTATTTAGCAATATACCCAACCGAGACTTATTTAAAAGAGGAGTGAAACAGTGGAAACAGCATAATAGGGCCCCTCGGGCAAAGCGTCACTCAGAATATGGCCCCTCGGCAGCCTCTCAGTCACTCGTGACTCAACTCTCGTCTCTCAGTACTCACTTTCAGCACTCGGCTCATTTATATATCATAAAGATAGAAATCATAGTAACCGCTGCGGCGTTCAGCCCGATCCATATGTTTATAGCCGACTACGCTCACTGGGGGTGTGCAGACTCCGGAGGGGCTCCTACGACCCAAGCGTCATATCGCTGCGGCGTGCAACCCAATCCAATATATACATCGCTGCGGCGTGCAGCCCGATCCATATATATATATGTATATGTATAAATATCCTCACAATTGGGGTTCTCAACCTCTCTAAGTCTTTAATCTCACAGCCTCTCGGGCACAGCAATGGAAATTAGGAAACTCAGCCCAGACAGTCCTCACCATTAGGAGTAGTGTAATAAACCAGTTTTAAACATTTAAGCAGGTAAAACATGACTGAGGATATGCTTTCAAAACAAATAAAGTGAGGAAAATAGTCAAAATGCCCCTAAGGGTTGGTACAGGCCGGCATAAGGCCCAAACACGGCATACAACCCATAATACAGTATAATACCCAAAAAAAAGTAATATAATATTTCCAAACCAAATACGCGACTTAATAGTCGCTACAGGACGGACCAAGTCACAATCCCAGCGGTGCACGCCCATACGCTCGTCACCTAGCATGTGCGTCACCGTGTTTATCAAAGCAAGTCAAATACCGGGGTTTTGTACCCTCAGTTTCCAGATTTACAATGGTTACTTATCTCAAACCGGTGAAAATACTACTTCGCGATGCCTTTGCCTCTCGAATCGGCCTCCACTCGCGTCGAATCTAGTCAAAATCAGAATCACGGCGTCAATATATGCTAAGGGAACGAAGCCCAAGCGAAAACAATCGAAAAATACCAAAATCCCGAAATTACCAAAACTTGAGCCCCGGGCCCACTTCTCGAAACTCAAAATTTTTTACACCAACGGATTCCTTATCTCCCCACGAGTTCATACATATCAAAAATACTAAAATCGGAGTCCAAATGACCCCTCAAATCCCCATTTAAAGGCTTCTTAAACTCAAGCCCTAATCCTCCATTTTTACCCTTTAATTCCTTTGATTACAGCCCTAAATTCATGAAATACTACCATTGAATTGAGTTTTTGGTCCAAAATTCCTTACCTTAACGAAGTCTCTTGATTTCTCTCTTCAGAATCGTCCAAAAACTCCAAGGTCGAAGGCAACAATGGTGAAATAACCCAAAATCGCGAAATAAAATAGCATATATGGTCTGCCCGGGCCTTTCCGCATCTGCGGTCCCAAACCGCTTCTGCGATACCGCATATGCGGTCAACTCCTCCGCTTCTGCGGAACTTACTTAACGGCCACATACCACATCTGCGGTCAACTGGTCGCATTTGCGACTCCGCAGGTGCGGTTCCCATACCGCATCTGCGGTTCCTGACTCTACCTTTCCATACCGCATCTGCGCCTTCCCTTCCGCACGTGCGACACCACACCTGCGGCCCCCAAACCGCAGGTGCGAAAACACCAGAAGCAGCAAATTTTCTGCAATCTCTCAAGTCCCAAATCTTCCCGTTAACCATTCGAATTCACCCCGAGGCCCCCGGGACCTCAACCAAAAGCACCAACACATCCTAAAACCTTATTCAAACTTGTTCCAATCCTCAAAACACCTCAAACAACATCAAATCACCCGAAACACATCGAATTCAAGTCTAAGTTTCTAAAATCTTCCGAAATTTGCTTTTGATCAAAAACCCAACCACCTCGTCCGAATGACCTGAAATTTTGCACACACATCTCAAATGACATAACGAAGCTATTGCAACTCTCGGAATTCCATTCCGACCCCTATATCAAAATCTCGCCTATCAGCCGGAAGTCGCCAAAATATCAACTTCGCCAATTCAAGCCTAATTCTACTCCGGACCTCCAAAACCCATTCTGATCATGCTCCTACGTCACTAATCACCTCCCGAAGCTAACCGAACCACCGAAACTCACATCTGAGCCCTCGAACACATAAGTCAACATCCGGTTGACTTTTCCAACTCAAGCATTCTTAAAAGAGACTAAGTGTCTCAAACTTCACCAAAACAAATCCGAATCCAATCCGACCAACCCGATACCTCAAAACACGGATAAACAAGGCATAAAGAAGCAGAAATGGGGGAAATGGAGCGGTAACTCATGAGACGACCGGCCGGGTCGTCACATCCTCCCCAACATAAATAAACGTTCAGCCTCGAACGAGTCAAGAAACATACCTGAAGCCTCAAACAGGTGAGGATATCTGCTCCGCATCTCCCGCTCGGTCTCCCAGGTAGCCTCCTCCACGTGCAGACCTCTCCACTGCACCTTCACTGAAGCTATATCTTTTGATCTCAACTTCTGAACCTGACGC